TCAGCAGGTGCTTATGAACAGGATTACACAGTAACCTTCAAGACAAATTGCCTTCTAATGCCTAATTCCTCCCTCTCTTCTGCTGCAGAGCTTCTTGCTGGAAATGAGATGAGCGAACATGATCAGCAGTCACTCAGCCAAAGATTTGTTCTCATCTTCTTCAGTTCCTTACTGTTAGACTACACTGTTTCCAATCCTTACATTCTCAGCTCCATTTGTGTCATAAATAGTTTTTGATTCCTTCACTGGGGTATTGGCTGCCTCTGGCTTCCATTTCTGGCTTTTTTTTATTTTCGTATTTTTTTGTTTGATTTTTTTTTTTTTGTTTGTTTGTTTGTTTATTTTTCCATTCTACTTTCCCCTTTCTCTGATTCTTCTGCCCAAAACCCTGACAAACAGAAATGTAGGTTTATTCCTCTCTTTAAATATTTTCTTTCCCTGTCCTATGAGATTTTTCTCCTCCTGGCACAGATCCATTTTTGTTTGTTTTGCTCCTTAACTCTTCTTTTACTGACACCCACAGTCTGTATTGGCATCTGTGTCATGCCTGCTCTTGCCTTTTACTTTCCTCCTTGACCTGCTGGCCAGTTCTCCTCCTTTTTTGTCTAAGCTTGTTTTATTCTTGTTATGCAGTTATTTTTCAACCTATTCAATCCAGTTTATTGCTTCTCTGCACAGTCTCTAATGACCTTCTTTTGAAGAAAGCTCTAAACCAGGACTCCATCCTCATTACTGACTCACTGTTTATCTAAATGTCACTGCTAATCTGCATGTAGCTCTTCTATTTTATAGTTTACTTATAAATTCTTTAAGATAGGACACTTTTTTATTTCTCTGTTTGTGCTGTATTTAGCTCAATTAGAGGTTTGTTTTGTGAGTAGCATTGTGAACTATTATGAAATTCCAAATAACTGATATATTTTTGATTAAAGCTTCCTTCCTTACCGCCTTCTCCCTGGGTATTTGACCAGATCAAATTATGTAGGTTATAGGTGGGATTGATAATAAGTAGCATTTTAAAATGGCACAGCTAGTTATCTGCAAATGTTGGCTCACAAATTTGCATTGTGCTACAAATTTAGAGCAGAGTTTTGCTAATCTTTCTCATGTGAACTGACCTACTTAAGTCAGTGGAGTGCTAATATTTGCCACAAAGTAAGGATTTGGCTCATAATCCTAGGGAAGGCATTTGCATGCACACTGGGAATATTGTCTAGGGTTTTTGTTAAAGGCTTCCTCCTCATTCCATTCCTCCTTATGAGATTGTTTTTAACTTAAAAATAAGAAGAACAAAGTAAGTGTGATTTGACCCAGATGTGATGCCTAAGGAAGTTGTCCATGAACCTCTCTAATGGTGAGTGGAGAACATTATCTCTGCATGGAGGTTACAATTTTGGCTTCACAAAAAAATGTCCACTTTGCTCCTAGGAAAAGTGAAAACACCTCTAACAGCTTAAATTACACCTAAAAAATTTCCAGTGTAGGCTCTAAATAACAGACCATAGAAATTGTAACATTTGAACTGATTGAGGACAAATAAAGGACAGCTATTAGTGAGTTTACATGGAAGACCAGGAACAACAAGAAGGCCAGAATTTTCTCAACCACCTTGGTCACATAAATATGGAGGTATTTACAAAGAAAATTGTTCCAGTAGTTTTTTTTACAGACTGTCAGTGTGACTTTTTTGAGACTGTACTCATCATTTGCATAATGTATTATCTGTTTATTTTCAGTATTCCATATAATTCTTTTTCTCAGAAGGGACAGAACACGTGTTCATTTTCTGTGTATTTGAAGACAGAAGTTGTTCCTATGCATTTTTACTCAAATGTGCTGCTTGATTTTTTGGATCAAATGCCCTGCAGGGTGACATTTCTTTCAGTTTTAGGAGTCACTGCAGTAATAGGAGGAAGCTTCTCAGTGTTACCTTCACAAGGGAATCCACGCTCTGTAATACATCAGGGACAAAAGGAAGGCTAAGGAGAACCTCCATTCCATACTGGATGCAGGGGGAAACAATAGTGACAAAGAATGAGGAAGCAGATGAAGTACTTAATGCCTTCTTTGCCTCAGTCTTTGACAGTAAGGCCAGTTGTTCTTGGGTGCCCAGTCCTTTGAGCTGAAAGACAAGGATGGGAAGCAGAATGAAGGCCCCATAATCAAAGGGGAAATGATCAGTGACCTGCTGCACCGCTGAGACACACACACAAATCTATGGGGCTGGATGGGATCCAGCTGAGGGAGCGGGTGAAAGTGCTCACGGAGGCACCTTCCATCATTTGCCAGCAACCCTAGGTAACAGGGAGGAGTGGGTCTTAATTGACCTGGAGGTCAGTAAGTGTGAAGCCCATTGATCAGAGGGGTTGGAAGGAGGGTCCAGGGAACTAGAGGCCTGTCAGCCTGACCTCAGTGCCAAGGAAGGTCATGGAGCAGATTGTCCTGAGCAACATCAAGCAGCACGTACAAGACAATTGAGATCACACCCAGCCAGCCCAGGTTCATGAAAGGCAGGTCCTGCCTGACCCAGTTCATCTCATTCTGTGGTGAAGTGACCTTCCTAGTGGGTGAAGGAAAGGCTGTGAACGTTGCTGCATGAACTTTAGTAAAGCCTTTGACACAGTTTGCCACAACATTCTCCTGGAGAAACTTGCAGCTCCTTGCTTGGATGGGTGTGTTCTTTGCTGGGTAAAAACTGGCTGGATGGCTGAGCCCAGGGAGTGGTGGTAAATGGAGTTATAGCTAGGTGGCAGCGGGTCTCCACTGGAGGTTTTGATTTGTTGGAGGACAGGAAGGCTTTCCAAAGGGATCTGGACAGACTTTTGTAAGGCCAGGCAGTTTGCAGAGATGTTGAAGGGAGGTGCCTTCTTGACCCAGACTGGTGTAACTGTGGTGTTAAATAGTTGAGAGTAAATTGGCTGTTTGTTGTACTCTTTGCCAAAGACTTTGGCAAAGTTGGGATTTTGTGTGCAGTGTGTTAAGCTCATAGACCCTTTTGTCTTCAGAAAAACAAATCCAAGGTGAGAACATAATGTGTCAGGAAAGGGTAAAATAAACCAGCTCAATCATGTAGATTAGAACCGTCTTGTCCAAACTAAATATCAGCGTTTGCAAGGCTTCCTTCCTCTTTTCTGAAGAGGACAAGGCAGATACTGGAGAGCTGCGGGTACCACTGCAGTACTGACTGATGCTTTTAATGCAGAAATAACATTTCTAGTATTGTAAAATGTGTTCTGTACAGGTGCAGGTACAAAATAACTTCTCTTGCTTTCCCACCTGCTCAAATTGAAGGTTTTACGATATTTACTTGTTAGGCTGGAGATGGTTGTTTTATTTTGCTTTATTACTGAGAAAAAGAAGAAGGTAATTCTGTTGCTATTTTTCTTTCCCTACCAGTCTTGCTTAATCCTGAAATTAGATGTTTATCCCTGAGCAGGTTTTCATGTAGTCCTCTATTTTTTTAAAAGTCACGTGCCAGTTTGCAGGACTAGCAGGGTACTTGAATTTTCCTTCAAGAACTGTATGTCCTAGTTCATTAGAAAGAAAGAAAAACAAATACCAAAAAAATTACAAAAATTGATATAGTGTTACACAAAATACTGCAGTAATGCTGACAACTGAATTGTCCTTCCCATATTCAATTCCAGGGTCTAAAGCACAAGATTCTCTCTCCTCTATTGTGGTTGTGGACTCCCTTATCATGCTGTAGTGGTGGTTTTGGTATACAGCCATTTGTTTTGTGTTCAAATATTTAAACTTCAGTGGTGCTTACCTTTTCTGAATACATATTTTCTGCAGCAAACAGTTTGTGCTTTCTTGAATAGATATCAAAAGCTAAAGGAAACTGCTTGTCTGTTCAGTTGAAAGAATTTTGCTGTAATATAAACCATTAAGCATTTGGAATAAAGAAAAAGCTTTCTTTTATAATGCAAGTGAGTAATTTTCCTCTTCTACTTATTTTCATATTTCTGCGTATATGTATTTTAACACTGCTTTTCCAAGATGATGGGATAATGAACTGAAAGAGTAGCAGGTTTAAGAAAACCAATGATCTGCAAACATTCTCTTTGTCCAGCTTTTCTTTCCTGTACAGGGAAGCCAGAGGGGTTGCTGTAAAATACTTCATAATTTTACATTTATCTACAAAACTGGAGGTAAAAAAGATGAATAACAGTTATTTTATCTTACATTCTCTAAACGGTTGCCTTGCCTCTGACGAATCCTTTTGCACAGGCAGATATTTGGCAATTTCGGTAATATTTATAGAGGCTGACATTGAACGACTGTTGCTTCTGCTGCAGATGACAGTACGACCAGCACAAAATCGTGGCCGCATGTTCGTGTGCGATACGTGTCCATGCAAACACGTTTAATCAGCTTGAAGTTTCTTCTCCCTCACCCCCTCCCTCAGCTCTTCTCCTTGCCCATCTCCCCGGCAGAGGAGCTGAAATAATTACCTGCAGTGTCATTTTTCACTTTGCTCCATGCAGATGCGGTGCGGTTGGGCCGCGGGCGGGGAGGGGCCAGCGCTGATGCGGCACGGGCGTGTGACAGCGGCGCGGCCCGACCCGCTCCGCTCCGCTCCGGGCGGCTCCCGCTGCAGCCCGGCCGCGCCGCCGCCGGGACCCGCCGCTGCGGGGCCGCCTGTGCTCGGAGTACCTGCGACACAGCTGGGCTATTCTTTAACTGCGGGAGAAGTGCCTCTCTTCCCTCCACGCAAGCTCCCTGCTGGCTTTCTGCATCCGTAATTTGTCGGAGCCGTTTTTCCCTCCGGCGTTCTCCCGCTACTTCTTTTCCCCCTTTCCCCCCTTTTTTCTTCCTCTATTTTTTTTTTCTTTTTGCCGCTCGTTATTCGCCCCCCTCCCAATCTGTGCTGCCTCAATAGCCCTCATTATGCTGTGCTCAGTGGCCCGGTGTGTTCCCCGCCTCTGCTAGGCAGTGGCAGCATGGATGGTGCTCTTGTGACGACCTCTGCTGATGCTATCAGTCCACTGCGGATAGGCATGCTGAGTAATCCTGCTGTAAATGGGCGAGGACACGGACACACGGAAAATTAACCACAGCTTTCTGCGAGACCACAACTATGTGACTGAAGGTAACATAAATACTGTCATTTTTCTCTTCTTGCATTGCATATTCTATGCTGGGAATGCACTGTCATGTTTGGAGATGTAGGCTGTTCCTTTTTTTTCCTTTTTTAAACAGGGGGGATTTCAGGGCGTTTTTTCTGTGGGATGTAGCAACAGAATCTGTCTGAATTCGCTGAATCCCAAAGACATTCTGTCATGCTACAGCAGTATATGAAAGTACCCGGGCTGGAGAAGGTCTTGCATTGTGCTGAGTTTCTGCTAGTGAGGTGTGCAGCACCTGGCATTGAATGCTCAGTAGCTGCAGTATAGAAGATTGGAAGTACTTGATTACTGAAAAAAAACCAAAAAAGGTTTGAGAACACCAAAGTAAGAGAAATAATCTGTAAAGTTAACTGTTTGCTGGTGTAATGAAGGTTATGCATCTCATTTTGGTAATTATATCCTGAGCATTACAGACATTGCTCAGTTGATTGTTCCCTAGAGAACTGTATACACTTAGAAGGCATTTAGAAAGGATATGTAAGCATCATCTTTTGAAATGCTGCTGCTTTCTTTCTGTTCCCTGTGCAAGGTACATGAGAAAAGAAAAGGCACCTTCATTTTAAATCATTCAGTGACTTGTAGGTTATTACATAAAAAGGAATTTTCTTGCAGGTGAAATACATGAAATGCTGAGGGAATTTACCTTGAGAACGTGAAATGGTTGGGTCAGGTACTGGTCTGTATTTCCTTGTCAGAAAGTTGGTTTAAGAGTAGGCCATTTTAAGATTGATTGAACAGGAGAAATGTGTTTGTAGGTGCTTGACTTTGCAAATATATCTATATGTGCAGTTTTAACAGCACTTTTCAGCAGCAGAAACAGTAACTCAATGTAGGCTTATATAATATGAACATACTTAACATCAGGGTCAACCAATACTCCTTGAGACAGTCTCCAGATTCTGTCATCATTTGATCAGTGCTCAGTCACTTAATACTCCCATGCTGCATCCTGAAACGTGATCAGCTGATGCTCTCTTGATTATTGATGATTTGAATTGTTTTAGATTGGAGAAAACAGTAGGATGATTTTTGTCATACCAGGACCACAAGGCAGATTTTTCAGAAGAAAAATTAAAAATGCTGTGTACTGTAACTGTTACCAGTGACTGGTGTAATTGCTTGCTAATCTTGCCTCTAGGACATTCTTTGCACTCTGGTTCATGTTTTGGTGCATTTTCAAATTTGTTTTGAAGTCTTGGTTAATTTTTTTTTTGTTTTGTTTTGTTTTTGTTTTCAGAGTGATGAATGTTTATGTTTTGAGATGTGGTCACCTGTTTGAAGGAGCTTTGTTGAAATTTGTAAATTCATGCCTTGGATTCTGCAGAATGCACAGTATAATTACTGCAGTGTACTTGATACATGGTGAATTTCAGATGTGCAGCAGTGTTAAAAATTGAATTTTTAAGTCTCTGTGTTTTGTGGTCTGAGGAAAATAATTAATGGTGGATTTTTCAAATCCATATTCTCCTTTTATATGTCATGAGTGTTCTAAAATTAGATGGAAATTTTTAGTAGTTTTTGTGACACTGCTGGGGCAAGTGTTAGATTTTTCTAATGTTCTATCTTCACTTGATACTTGGATCATAAGGACTGGATGTTCTTCTGTCATTGCACATGGAGGGGCTTGTCTGTAATGGGTAAAAATATGATTTGAATATGAATGCTGACCTGTTTTATATTTTTCCTCTGATCAGAAGTCATCATGAAATATGTTGGCATCTATTCTTGAAATCTTCAGTAGCAAAATACTAGTTTTTCATCTTGGACTAGTGTAATTCTTGTTGAGAATGCAGAGTTTGTCAGGTGTTATAGAGTTCTTCACAGCTGTTATATCTGACATTGCCACACCTTTTAAAAGATCTTGCAAATCATGAGGGAATGGATTTTTCTGTGAAATTTTTCCAAGGAGACCTTCAGCTCAAAGAGGAGCATCATGAATGTTAATTTCTCATTGATACACTTTGTTTAAAATGCATAATGAATACATTAGTTAAAGTGGTGCTTTAAATGTGCTTTGTTTGTTCTTCTGTGGAATTTTGTACTTTTTTGTTTAAAGATTTGGCTCCATGAAGGAACTTTAAGACTTCTGAAGTGTGAAGGCCTGCAGTCCTTTCACAGGCCTTGTATTTGGTCTTGTGACATATTAAGTGCAGTATGTAGCAACAATAGTAAGGCAGTAATGTGTTACCTTGTTGTACTTCTTTGGGGTCCAGTTCAAGTTTTTCTTTGGCTTTTGTAATCCACCATTTAAAATGAAGAAATGCTTTATGTGGTGTCCAGTGTATTAGAGAAGTTACCAATTCATTGTTGTTTGTGAATAACCAAAATTTTATCTCATTTTCAGAATTTTGAAGTCTTGGTAAGTGGTGTCCTCTGTCCTTGCTATTCCATGCAGCAGACTAAATTAATTTATAAAAGGAAGTATTTCTAACCCTTGTATGTACTTTCTTCCTCTAAGTATTCACTGAGGAAAGTAAAGCCAGCAGTAATCATGAAGATGTGGGTTAACTATAGCATTGCTTTACTTCTCTACCTGGTTTACTTTTTCAGTGATTTGAAAAAGCCCAAAGAGTCAAATGACATATGAATTCAGGGTATAGGAAAGCTGTGAGCCAAATCTGATTTGCTCTGCTCTTGCTAGTGGACTGAAGGTATTCCTAACAAAACTGCTTGCTTAGGCAAAGTCAAATTTAATCTCTTTGATAGGTCATTAATTTTGAACTTTGGGATTATCTGTAACAAATGTGGCTTTACCTTGACTATGGGAAATTGAATTGGTTTTTAAATCTCAACAATTTTTTGATTTGTTGTTACACTGTAACTGTTATGTGTGTCTGTAATGCCTATTATAGTATATGACAACAGTGACTACCTGGCCCTGTTTCTCCTGTTCCATATGCACAACTACAATGTGGCATTAAAACAAACAGAACGTGAATAATTTTGTCATTTAAAGTCTTTAAAGTTTTGTTACGGTTGCACAAGGGAAAAAAGTGATTTAATTCCAGCTGCAATATACAGCAAATTTTTCAATGATCACTTTCAAAAGTAGCTTTTAAACAGTAGCTTTTAAAAGTAGCTTTTTAATTGAAGTTGTTTGTGTGAGGAAAATAGAAAAGATCAGGTAAGACTTGTAAAGAAAGAGAGAAAAAAATATCTGAGGCTTAGAAAATGTGAGCTGTGAGGAAAGATTGAACTTCTTTGCAAAGGTGATGAAACACTGGGATATATTGCCTAGGGAGCTTGTGTAATTTTTATCACTGAAGTTTTTAAAAGCAGGTGACATAGATGTCTGTAAGAAATGACATGGGGATAGCTGAGCCTCCCGTGGGGCAGAGGAATGGACTAGATGACCTCTGAGATCTGTTCAGGCCTGTGATTCATTGCGGAGCTGTGTTTTATCTTAATTGCCTTTTGCACCACAGCTGTGGGAACCAGTTGTCCAGGAGGTGTTGGGTCAGTAAAATGTGTTATTTCCACAGCAACTGCAGGAGCACTGAGGAGGGAGGAGAGGCACTGGAAGAGAAGATGGGTTGGATGGGAGAAACATGATCCTTCATTACTGTACAGACAGAGTCTGTTGGGGAGAGGGCAAGAAAATTGTGAGCTGGGGGAAGGGGGATAAAAGAGGCTTCTGTGCTTTAGCGGGCAGAGGATGTCCCTCGGTCCTAGAGTTCCCTTGATGTTACCTGTGCTTAAGATTAATGGTAAAACTGACAGGACTGCTCAGTGCCTTGGGCTCGGCCACACAGCAGCTGATTGTGAGCAGTGAATTGCCTGGTGTGGTTGCTGTATTCCTGGTAGGGCAAAAAGTTGCAGGAATCAATGGTGCCACTCTCTTGCTCAACTGCCACCTTAATTCCATTACTCTGTGTTGTTCTGATTTAACAATTAACAGAAGTAATGAACAAAATTCACTATTCTTGCCAAACTGTGTTGAAGGATGTGTTTCACCTCCATGATTCCTAATTTATTTGGAGAAATTCTTCTCTGGCAGGTGAAGCATATTGCAGGTTGCATGCAGACAAGTCTAGCATATGAATTGATCCCTGCCTTTTTATGGAGTATCTCTGTTTTGGGAAGGAATAAAAAGATGTTTATACTTCCAGTTTTTCTGGAGAGACAGAGGTTCCTCCCTGGTCTAGGCCTGCAAGTGCAGCTGGAGCCAGTGGAGTTGCACTGGTGCAGTGGGGCAGAAGGTGACCTGCACTATTTAGACTTTTATATGGCCAAATTGTGCAATTTAGTTCCATATGGCTTCTGTGAAAAAGTTAATCACATTAATGGTGCATTAATGTCCTCAAATATGATATTTGAAGAATTATGAGAGTTAGCAGTGCAGTATAAAACATATCGAATCATAACCATGTGAAATGTTTATTATAGAGGATAAAGGAACCCTTTTTTTTTCTTAATGATTGTAAAGAGAACTCCTCTACAGATAATGAAAACAGATTTTGGGGCTTTTTTTTTTTTTAATTTTGCCTTAACAAAACAAGTTAGTATTTATCTCCTTCAGTAATCAAAATTAGAGGAAATTATCAATTTTCATTTGCCAAAAAGAAATTTATTTATGATCTTTTCTTTCATAAACATCTCAAATATAATTTGAATTAGACGTTAATACCTGAGGTGTTAATTGGATGAATATAGCAAACAAGTAACACTGCTGGCTCAGGCTCACCATTATTCAGTCCAGTTCACTGATTTCTCCTTATTAAGAAAAGTACAAGAGGTAGCTCTTCCTCTCAACCTCCAGCAATTCAGGATTTATGTTGTGAATATTGATGATTTTAATATTTTTGCAGAACTAATTTAGAAACAGTTTCAGCATTACCCTGGAAATTATTGCTCATTCTTAGTGCAGTCACTTGTGTTATTTATGTTTTTCCTTGAGTTGGGGGTGAACAGGGGTAAACCTTGTTAAAGCATGACTTTGCCCCTTGTTAAACAGGATATAGTT